TTTGCATCCAGGTTAGACAGCAAGTCTAGACAGTCAGTCAGGTTTCTGTAGTGAAACAATTTTACTGACCTGTATTGGAACCGTGCAGGACTCTGGTTTGGGGCCCTCAGGTTAAGAGAGGTAAGCAACACCAGCATGGGAGTGAAACCAAAAGATTAACCAACCCTCTGGTTTCTTCAAACTTTCACTCAGGAGCAAAAATCAGCTTTTAAATTTGAAAATTTGAAAGTAATAATGATTGATAATTATTGTGATAATTATATCGACTGATATGACATTTTGATAACATTTTTAGTTTTTTTAGCCTAGGCCTATAAGCTACGGGTCTTATTGTGAATAACGCGTATCCTTCATGAAAAGAAAAATGGACATGTTAAAAAAAAAATCCCTCTTCATACAATGTGTGCTGATTGAGACATGAGATAATCAGACCAATTTAGTTTTTTTAATCGAGCTGTAAACATGTTTATTTCTGCTGTAAAAATTGGCTTTTCTGAATGGGTGTGTATGTGACATATTAATATATGCAGTTAGTGGTTTTATTACATTGAAAGGCTGTTTTAATATATGAGCATTAGAATGGAACAATGAGCAGGGAGGGAATGATTGCATAGTGAAACAAAACTTCAGGATTCTTCTTTTGCATTTATATGATTTTGATCCTTTTTTGATGCCAAATTAGCATTGGTGTCTTCAAACTTTTGTATTTTCCTACCAACGGACAAAAACTTTGAAATAATGTATTTTATTACTTGAGATTTAAAAAAACTGAAAGTTCTCACCAGTGAGATGATGGATCTGCATGATGAGTGCATTGTTTTGCTTTAAAATAAATTGAATGAGAGATCGTTTGTCAAATAGAATCATTTCTGCCTCAGTTTATCTCTCACTAGGTTTACTCTGCACTGCTTTCTTTAAAACAGATGTACTTTTGTGTCCTTATTAACATGCAGGCTAGAGAAGAAGCCAAATCTGGTTGGACCTGAGGGTAATTAGAGCGATCCTCCTGAAGTTGACACCAAGGAACTTACCAAACAACATAAATAACACTGAATAATATTTGCATTCAGACCTAGCACTCATGTTTTTCTCGCTTTTATCATATACATGCTGTATCATTCTTTTAAATTGATTGTTTAAAAATCAGTTCCAACAACACACAACATGTTTTTATTCTGAGGACAAAGATAAATCATAATATATGATACCACTCTGTACAATTACGGGGCCTGCAGTCAATATGAAACAGTATCATTGGCCCATTTAATTCACTGTGTTACGCTTCTATCGACTCACACAGAAAACCCATTCAAAATTTGATACAGAAAAAATTGGATACTTTTTTTTAACATTAAGGAAAATATATATTAGTTATAAAGCCATATCTCAAAGATCACTGGATCTGGATCGCTTCTGGATTTGAATTTCTGATCTCTAAACTGATACATAGACACACATGACACTGGATACTTACACAGCTAGCAGCTGTATGGCTGTTGAATACCATTTAGGTAAAGAAAGCCATTATTGAAATCCAACAATCATTGTCTCAAACTGAATATATAAACTGTATGTTTCTGAATTGATTCAGCTTTTGGTCACATTTATGCTTCTTTGTAGGTTGTGAATTATTTTTGGTCGGGAAAGATGTAAAGCACTCCCAACATGTGTAATGGAGTGAATATTTCACTTGTGGTTTTATTTAGGGATTTAGAATACTCAGTGGTGTTTTAGTTTTGATGTTAATCGTTTGAAGATTGAGGACATGAGATTAGATTATTTGTCTTTGAGTGGTGTTTAATGAGAGATGATCATGAGTGATGTTTTGGTGACTGGTATTATCTTATATTATATTACTTTGTATCTGCAGCATTTATTATCACAATACAATTTTAACCTGTTTTAAAATGAGTCTTATTTTGGGCATGTTTTATAATGTGCTCTTCTTTTGAGTTTATGATTCTTACTTTAAAAACTGGAACTTGTGAAAACCTTTATTTGCATCTAAAAACTTGAAATTCGAATTAAACAATACATTTTTAAACGTATCCATCAACTACCTTTCTTGGATGATGAATGTGTTTAAATGTATGACAGACTTTAAGTGAAGCTATAATTGTTTGACGATTGGTTCTTACATAATGCATCTATGAGAACCTTTCAAGTGTATTCCTGTTGTGATGGGTTCATATCTGATAAAATCTGCATGTATTCAAAATAAACATCAGAGAAAATCCTGAGTTCAACATTGTGTAATCTATCAAACCATATGCATCTATATATATATATATATATATGAGTATATATATACACTGTATATATCACCTGTGGTACAAATCTAATTGCAGTTCAAAGTCCTTTACAAAGGAGCGGAAAAATGACTGACAAAAGGTAGTTTGTAAAATATAACAGCAATAAGAAATAAAATCAGCACAATGATTAATAAATATAAATACTAAAAACCTAAAATCAAACACTAAAATGTAAATTTAAAAGTAGAGATGAATAATATTGATTAAAATATAGTAAATTAAAAGCCTTAAAATGATTAAGTCATATAGAAAAGCCAGACTGAATAAATGAGTTTTTTAAATTGTTTTTAAAAATCTCAATATTCTCTGATACTCTGAAGTCTGTTCCAAAGTCTCAGAGCAGCAAAACGCAGAATCACAAAAGGTTTTTGTTCTGCTCTGAAAAGTAAACTGGGAGTGGTGTGCTTTAGACAATAATAAAATCAATATGAAGACAAAGAGGCAGCCAGTGTCAAGACTTTCAAAGATAGATAAAATAGTTTAATGGGAGTTGTGTGTGTAATTGGCAAAGTCATTAACATTCATTCATTCAATCAAATTCATTTAATCTGTTCTTTAGATGTATGTTTACTGCCCTCACATGCTTCACAGGTTGAGTTAATGTCGACATTGCCTATTTAAACACATCATGTTAAGTTTATTTGTCGGACACAGTAATCATCAACTTACATCATTTGCTCATTTGCATCAACAGAAACAGTGTGTGGAGTTTGGATCACATGCTTTCTATCTGATTTAAGCAGAGTTCAGTTGAGAAAAAAAATAGGGTAATTAATGAATAAAAAACAAATAAAATGAAAAAAATGTAGCATCATTTATGGAGGTTCACATTGGTAACTCCTCATGCACAGAAAAAAATAGATGGCTAAATCTAGATCCAATGTGTTACACTGACCTGCTAAAGAGAACAACGGAAACCTTGATGTGAGTGGAAAATGGACTTTTCACCTTACTTCATTCTTATTTTGTTGATATATTATGCATTATTTCCAATACAACACATGTATTAATGATAGTTTAAAAAACAATTTTAAAAACTTACTTGAAATTATTTTGATTGGATTGACAATATTTATCAAGATCTGTAATATTTCCTATTTGTCATCAGCTAAAATCATTCACAACATCTACAAAGAGGATCAACTTTTGAAACAGCATCAGATCCTGTGTACAAACATGTGAACTCAGAGTTTGCGTTCCTTTGTCCTTACGTTAGGTTCATTTGCTTTATGTTGATTTGTGGGGTTTTTTACGACTGATTTGTGATTTTGTGAATATGGCAAAATAAGTAGCATAAAAAAGTACCAGATATTACAGTTTTAGTACATCATTGACTTTTTACAAAACAATAGTTATACTAACATGAGCTGACATTTCTGCCTAAAAAATTAGTCAGACAACTGCAGCTGATCCAGAAAGCTGCTGCTAGAGTCCTCACCAAAACCAAGATTACCAGAAAAACCAAGAAAATACATTAGTGACCTCCTGATTAATTATGAACCATCCAGACCGCTCAGGTCGTCTAGGACAGGTCTGCTCTCTGTCCCCAGAGTCAGAACCAAACATGGAGAAGCAGCATTCAGTTTCTATGCTCCTTATATCGGGAACAAATTCCCAGAAAACTGCAGGTCTGCTGAAAGTCTCACCTCTTTTAAATCCAGGTTGAAGACACACCTGTTTACAGCTGCCTTTCATTAAACAATTTTAATAAGATTCTAAACTTTTTGTATTTTTACTTTATTTATTTGAATAAATTTTATTTGAATTATTTTGATTTGAACATATGTTCAGATTTAATAATTCCAGTGATTATATATTTTTTAATGTTATATTTTAATGTTTCTTTTCTTTCCTCTGTCATGATGCTTTTGATGTCTTGTGTGAAGCACTTTGAATTGCCTTGTTGTTGAAATGTGCTATATAAATAAACTTGTCTTGCCTTACATTTGTCATTTAAGTTTGATCTGTGTTGCTGCACGGAGAATCAGTTTGACTTTGACATCCTTCTTTCAGTTTAAAAGAAAACTTAAGACCTGGAAGAAATAACATGATAAAAATGGATATTTATAAGCCCTATAAAGATACCTGACCTGGGAATAAAGTCATATCGTCCTGATGAAATTAAGAAAACCAACTCTTTATGGAAGTAAGATAACAAAGTGAGATATGTTAACATAGATATTATCTTCAAACAACTTTCTATGTCTGCAACCAGAAGTAATCTCACAAGAAAAATTAGGCGATGACTCCTGGCATTGATAGACACACATCTGTAATGTGCTCATTCTGGATGTTACTGGAGGTCAATATATACATATTATAGTCTCATCTTTTCAGGGCACACTTTACCATAGAGAGTTCAGCAACATCGCCATCTTGTGGCCATTTGATATATTTGCAGTTCTCAAATAGAGTACCGGTACACCATAAATCTGTCTAAAGAGCAGGTGCAACATTCACGCTACCTCTGAATTTTTCTTCAGAAGTAACTTCTAATACTGATTTATTTCTAACATCCTGTCATTTCTTCACTTCTTTATACGTTTAGATTTGTTAATTTGACTTAAGAATATCTGATGCACTTTCAGTTTTATTTTCTGAAATGTTTAGTATATCAATAAAAGAGGATCATGAGGGTAAAGACCAATAACATGGGTGTGGTGGAGATATAAATGTCAGATGTTTTAAAACCCTGAGCGTCATAAAAAAAAAGCCTTAAGCAGCTATGGCTATATAAATGACATTTACCACTTGTCAGATCAGCATCAGAAACATTAGCTTGATGTAAATGCAACGTCTTACGGCTTCAAAACATTAAAAACTATATAGATAGATTTTTTAAAGTTACAGGGAGCTGAGGAAACGTGTTAGTACAAAAAGAAGGACTTGGACGATTGGAGGAAATTTTGGAGGTTGGTTTTCTAGTTATAGTCGATTAAATTCATGGTTGGCTTTTGGTAAGTTGTATCGTTATTTTAAACTGATGGTTTAATTTACCAATTTTGCCTTTTAGCTTGTGTAAAACTGAGGTTAGCCTACTTAATAAATGACTGACTTCTTTCTCTTTTCTCTTTTATCTAGTCGGGGCAAAATGGCAAGTCCGAGCAAAAAGGCAAAAAAGTGAGTATATCTTTGTTAAACCAGTTTACAATATCCCAACTTTATAAAGAAATCATTTTAAGTTGGAAGTTTCAGCACGAGTTCATTCTGTGAATGCCTTTTTTTTTATTCTACAGACCGATTATCACCAAGGTAAAACATATCACACACCTTACCACACATCACACTTTTTTATGCGGCTGGAGAGATAAGAGAGAATAAACAGAACAAACAATGACGACTTGTAGAATAAACCGCACACAAACACACCTCCACAAAGTTAAGCCTGTGTACATGTATTATCCATTATCAGTCTAAATTAAAAATCTAATTAACTGGGAGGGCTTTGTTCTCTAGATGCTTATTATCCCCCACCAGTGGTGAGGACAGCTAGCTTTGTGCACCTTTACTATCCAAACCAACCCTCTTTGTTCTCCTTTCCTTTAATCCTAAAAAAAAGGAAGAGGAACACAGACTGTAGGCTATTGAAATAGGACATTTTCAGTGTCCAATGATTTGTTCTCTTTGTTCTACTAGATGCTTAATCTCTCCACCAGTGGTAAAGCCATTGAAGCCATTATTTTTGCAGCATCAGCTTTATTCTAGGGCTCATTTGGCCTCATGCTCATGCTATGGCTACTTCTCATGTCTCCTAAATTGCATCCACGTTTCCTTCTCTTGCTTCCCTCACTTGCATGGAGAGACGCGAGGAAACGAAGCAGAGGAGAGAGGAACTAGGAAATATGTTTTAAGAGACGTCCTTCCCTAGAGCGTCACGTGAAGCAACATCCGTTTGTGATAAAGACATCAGCTGATCCCGGGTCGGCTTTAACAGCTGTTTATGTCCGCACAGATAACAGTAACAGTGTTATCTGAGTAGCCTCCTTTACCTGATATACACCTGCACATGAAGAACAACCTGCAGCCTGCTTCTAAAACACGTAGGCATACAGACAATTTCTACAGGCAAAAGTCTTTATTATTAAATTATTTATGAATTATTTGATTTAAATCATAATCTAAACTAAACTCTGTATTTTATAAACACTAAGGGTGTCTCAGGATTATTGAGAATTTTTACAAGGATCAAAATGTAAGAAAAACAGGATGCATAACCTTTTCAAAACCTACGATCATTAGCCTCATGAAAATGATGAATGCAAAACGTGTTGGTGACTGACAGACAGTCATTCTCATCATGATCAATTTAAAAAGGGCAAACAGTGTGAGTGACCCTGAAAAGAAATATGAGCTGTTCTAATCTAATGGAGACATTTATGATCCTTTCGGTTTTAACTCTTAAAATTAACAGATTTTTTGTTTGATGGTGAATCACAAAACAAATCAAATAGGCTAAAAGTCGGGTTTGACACTCTTATATTAATTTTACGGGACTTATAGCCTACTTAATATTTCGTTGTTTATTTCATGTCAAACACTTTTTTTGTCCCCAGTTTATCACAGACGGACTCTTTACAAACTGACAGATGTTTACAGTTTGTTTCAATGTCCGATGTGTCCGTTTAGACTCTTTTTAATGTCATCTTTTCTCCGCTGTGAAACTCCGCTGATGTTGATAAGTTTCACTGAAGTCCGATCCGCTGCAGCATCCAATCACTGAGTGATATACGAGACGGAGGCGGGTCTGTCAGTTAAAAGACTTCCTGGAAAGATGCTCTTGTGTTTCCTCGATCATAGCTCCTCATAGTTATTATTTTTCTCAACATGTTTAACTCAGTTCATCATTAAGTCCTTTTGGAGCCGATGTTTGCAAAGTGTGAATCCAGTACGCCTCACGCTGATAAGAAGTTTATCATTTGATGAATGGTAGCTCGGACCGTGTTTTTATTTATTTATTTATTATCTTTACAGGGCAGCGCACAATTAAATGTAATTGCATCATTAGCTAATAGCTAAATTGCATCTGTTGTACCAGTGCATGTGCATTAAGTGATCCTTATTTTCCCCCCCTCTTTAATTAACAAACAGGGAAAGGTGTTTGAAAATGGTGGAGAGCTCACTATCTGACTTAAAGATGTGCCAATGTTTTTTATAAACAGTTTGGATTGTGCTCGAGTGGTTAGAGTGTTGCATGGTGCACCTCACAGAGAACTTCTTTCCCTTTTTGACGCGTTTTTTCACTAAATCCGAGTTGTTTTTTTGAGGGCTAATTCATATGCATCTTTTATCTACAAAGATGGGTATCTCCTCTGAGAGAACCAGTTTTTCAAAAAACTGGTGTCCGTGTCCTTCCGGTACAGTGTAGTGAGAAAAGAGCCAATGAGCCTCATTCACTAATATATGCGTAGAAATGTTCTTACTCTGCCCATAAAATAAGTGCAGACGCAAAATCACCGTCGGATTCATGACACTTGGTACCAGCAGATTTTATGGTCTCACCACCTTGTGTGTGTTAGTGAATCAGAATCATTCTAATTCGACAAACGCTTGCCCGCAACCTGCAATCAGCACACTACAAGGCCCCCATCTCCCCACATAAGGGCCCTTTCCGAATAGCCACAGTTCAGTATGCAGTGTGTACTTTTCAGTAAGGAGTTTCAGTATACTGAACATTTCAGCATGGATACTAACTTCCGGGTTTTATGCAGTATGGATCGGATGCATCCTTTCAGGAAATGAATTGTATTTTACCACCCACAATGCTGTGCGAAATTAAACGTAAATCGTCACTTCACGTGCGCATACAAATCAAAACAAACGAGCATGGATTAATTGAGTACATTTTTAATCTAGAGTTAAAGTCCCGTCTGAAATCGTTACTTTTAATTAACAACAGAAAATATAACAAATGTCTGCATTATTATAAAACCTTTCCCCCTAAATTTAAATAATGATTTCACTATTTAAATACGTCTTTATTGGTTTATTTTACTTTATATTCTGTATATTACTGTCTTTCATTTGTACTTTCCTTTATGTATTGTATGTTATTTAGTTATTTAATCTGTCTTTTACTTGATTTACATTGCGATATTGTTTTTTGTTTACCTGACTGTATATGCGCATTACTCCTCTTGAATAAAGCTAAACAAAAAAAACAAAAACGGGTGGATGCGGACGGTTCGGGTAACATATACTGAATGAATCAGACAAAGTGCTCCTACTGAATAGTAGGTACTAAACAGTATACAGCACGGATAGTAGGTACTGTCTACTGCCTACTGAAAGATTGAGTAGGTACTTGGCAATTCGGATGCACCCAAGGACATTCCATTGGTGTATCAGGACAAGAGCGGTGAGGAGGAGACATGTACAAGTTGCAAGAGATGGCCCCGAAATTCAAAAAATAGCTGTGTGTTTGGGGGCTTAGATGCCGTTACAGGGAATTACATAGTTGCAGCAATTAATCAGCTGATAAGTCCATTCGATCTGCAGAGTCCCTCTGCAACTTTCAGAAAAAGCTAAAGACCCAGCTCTTTCATGAATACCTATAACTTAATGATGATGGTCTTGATATTATTGATGATGGTAATGACGATGGTTTTTGTTTGATAACGACGACTTATAAGATGGTTTCTATACTGATTAGAGCTCTCAAGAACTGCCCTCAATGTTGTGCTTTGCCTCTGGTCACTTACTGTCAGCACCTGTGTGTCCAATCGGACTCAAAGCGGATCGTTTGCTCTTACTGACATTGTTCCCTTTTTTCTAGATCCTTGCTTGTGTTGTACTTACTCTCTGATGTACGTCGCTTTGGAGAAAAGCATCTGCTAAGTGAATTGTAGAATTGTAGAATAAATCATTCTTCACACTCTTCAAACATGTTTTGACGGTCTGATGCGTTCTCTTCTGAAGGCACGGGCTGCTATTTCTTTCAGCAAGGCTACATCTTTCCACATTCTTAGACCTAAATCACAATAATGTATGTTCCATGCATGCCCTCAAATAGGCTCCAATTAATCACCTGGTTTTGGTAACAGATGCAATATTTCATGACACTATTGGTGGGAGTGGTTGACGATTAGATTTAAGATTTTAGATTAAAGAAGTCTAATAAGGATGAAAAGGCATACATTTCATGGTTATTTAATACATTTAGTCAATGCATTAGTAAATTATCATTTTTAATTATTGTCTATTCAACATTTTATATAGGCTATATATAATATGTCATGTATTTAGTTAAGAGTGTATGTTAGCATTTTCTGACAAAGCTGGTAAATCATTTGTGAATATACATGGTCTAAAGAAGCTATTTTTTTGTTCACAGAGTAAGACCAAATTAAAGTAAAAACATAATTGATGAATCTCAGATTTGTGCAGCAAACGTTCTTACGAACGGATTAAGAACAGATTTGTGTGTACGCACTGTTTGTGAACGAGGCCCAATGTCTTTTATAACCCACATGTCTAAGAAACTTACTCTGTCATAGCTAAAGTTAGCTTGAAACTCCATAACATTTAGACAATGGAATCTCCTACACACCTGTCTTATGATGTGGATGTTTGAAGGTTTTTCTTTGATGTTGTGTTTTAGGCATTTCATTTAGCTTTTCGCTAGCTTTTGTTTGTTTGTTTTCTGCAAGGTGTTTAATGATTCCATCCATGGTAGCATAGAGTTACACCCACTCCTCATCAAGATCATTGACACACCTCAGTTCCAGAGACTTCGATTCATAAAGCAGCTTGGAGGTGTCTACTTTGTTTACCCTGGAGCGTCTCACAACCGCTTTGAACACTCGATCGGGTAAGTCAGAAAGTTTTCAAATTTCAGCCCACAGGTGACCTCAGTCCAAATAAGGAGAAGACTCATGGTGGTTTTCACATAAGCACCTTGTAAAACCAATAAAGGCAGAAAACAGTGCCTGTCTTAGTATGGTATGAAAAAGTATATATTTTCATTTTGGTAGCAGCATCCTATTGTGATAACTGCGTTATAATTTAAAAAAATGTTTTCTGTGGTCTAAAAAGGGTGGGATACTTAGCAGGAAAACTTGCTGAGGCTCTCAGGTCAAGGCAGCCGGAACTCAACATCACTGACAGAGACGTCCTTTGTGTTCAGATTGCTGGCCTCTGTCATGACCTGGGTGAGTAATGCATCCCTTTTCAATATTACATATAATAGTTTATAAATTGGGTATGAAAAGAGTAAAATGAAAGTGAAATGATCCAGAAATAACCCTTCCATCTTTCAAAAAAGCAAGGGCTTCTGCATTAATAAATAAAAAATACAAGGGTGGGGTGAGGTGGTGGTAGCTCAGTCTGTAGGGACTCTGATAAGAACTGGAGGGTCTGAATCTTTAAAAATAATATTTAGACTCAGAAAACTTTATTTAACCCAGAGGGCGTTTCGGTACCACAGTCCACCTAGACCATGCATACATTTACAAACACATAACAGTCTTTCTTGTAAGCAATATTCTCAAGTTTAGATTCAGGAGTAATCCATCCTCAACTCAAACAGGTTTATTAAGACATACTGACTGTATAATCTGTAGACTATCAGTGGATTACGCCTGTATTTATCTATCCATTTCAAGGTCATGGACCCTTTTCCCATCTGTATGATGGACTGTTCCTCCCCAAAGCACTGGAAAAAAAGAGGAAATTAAAGAAATGGAAGGTAAGAAGTTTTTATTTCTGTTGTAATATGACAAATGAAATACAGAGGAACGGCAAAACTGAAGCACATGTACCTTTCACACTGGCTTGTTCTTTTGAAACAAAATCCAGGGTGTTCTTTTTTGTTTGCCTTCTCAGGTAGAATGTGATTATGCACATTTCCAAGGATGTTGATCTATTTATTTAATAACAATGAACGGTGTAGTTTGTGTGCTAAATGACCCTCATTATTCTCTTTGGTAATATATGTCAACTTTTTATCTGACATGTTACCGCTTTTCAGAAGCTCTATGAGATTTTACTAAATGTTTATTTTTTAACCATTAATCCTGGTGATTCAGAGATTTAGATACAACAAACAAAGATAAAATTGAATTCATCGTTCATGAGAGGTAATTCTTTATGACAGGGAACTCTTTTAAAAGCAGAAGGGATTTCTAGATCTGTTTATGTCTCTTTGTCACTCAATAAGAGAAGATAACCTTTATTCATCCTACAACGGGCAGCAAAGAGCAAGGATAGCCAAAAAAGAGTACACAGTGCACCATTCAATAACTTCAGATCAAAAGAGTGCGATTGTTGTGTTTACACCCAAACAAACCGGGCTAAAGGGGAAACGCCCCTTTGTTTCAGAACAACTTTTCCAAACTATCCAGGTGTGAAAAAACGTTCGGTGAGAAAACTGAGCTGCATTATCACCTTCCCAAAAACTCTTATGCTTAACAGTTTGACATCGGGTTGAGTTCAGCTAGCTAAATAACCCTGATAAAGACTGTTAGGATGTTGTATACAGTATATTGGCTGACATTAAGTGGCTCGTCAAATTCTGAAGCGCTTTAGGAACTCTGACATTGTAAGTTGTTTTACATACATACGTTTGAGATATACTCTTCAAATGTGGGGGAAATTAAAGTATGTGGGATTATTATATTTATGTATTAAATCTTGTGTTGAGACATTTATGAGTCTGTGTGTCTCGCAGCATGAAAATGGCTCTTGTGACATGCTAGACCACCTGCTGAAAGAGAATAATCTTAAACCAGTGATGGAGAAGTATGGACTGAAACCTGAAGACAACATAACATTCATCAAGGAGATGATTGCTGGACCTCTACAGGAATCTAAAGAGAGGAGGCAAGTTCACCTCATTATGTTATTCAGAAGTCGGATAAGATACTGTATGAATATAAGATAAGAGAAGATAAAACTTTATTCATCCACAACGGGCAGCAAAGAGCAAAGATAGCCAAAAAGAGCACACAGTGCACCATTCAAAAAAAATAGATCAAAAAAGTTGAGCAGCCTAAAATAGTGTGATGCTGTGTTCACATATTATCAACAAACCGGGCTATGGTTTCAGAACAACTTTTCCAAACTATCCAGGTGTGAAAAAATCCTTAGAGAGAAAACTGAGCTGCATGATCACCTTCCCAAAAACTCTTGTGCTTAACAGTTTGACTCTGGTTGAGTTCAGCTAGCTAAATAACCCTGATAAAGACTGTTAGGATGTTGTATACAGTATATGTCCACAGAAAATTGGCTGACATTAAGTCACTCTCAAATTCTGAGGACTTTAGGAACTCTGACATTTAAAGTGTTTCTTCATACACACGTTTTGAGATCTTCTCTGCAAATGTTGGTTGTGCTATTTGTGTTGTTCCTTGTCTTCTTGCAATATTTTTCATGATTTGATGAAAGCGAAGCATGGATTGAACCCTTAACATGCGAAAAACATTAAGGTGATGATTGCTGAAGACCAGAAGGCAAGTTCTCATCTGTGCATAAATCAGTCTGTGTCCTACAGCAATGTCACTATTTTGTAACATCTCCTCAGTATAAAGGCGGACAAGAAGAGTGACAAAAAGTTTTTCATCTGCCTAGAACTCAGATCTTAAAATTTAACCGTTGTTTTGTTTGTCATGCTTTTTCATGTACATAGTTTATTGTGTTCATATTTTAGCTTTATCTCTGTTTTGTGAAATGGTCCTACATATGTTTTCTATGCAGTGTAAATTCATTGACAACAACATACGTGTCAATAAAACTGGTCCTGATTCGCTTTGTGTCGTCATCCCTGCAGTGGACTTCAAAGCGCCCAGAAGAAAAGTCCTTCCTCTACGAAATTGTGTCCAACAAAAGAAACGGCGTTGATGTGGACAAGTTTGACTACTTGGCCAGGTCAGGTTTTAATGAAGTGCTGTAAAATAATTCTTAACCCTGAACAATGCATTATTCTCCTGATTTATTTTAAAATGATACAGCACTCAACAGTAAATTCAGTTTCCCTCTATACACCTATTTTCTTCACATTGCCTTAATCTGTCTCTACAGTAATAGAAATATTTCCCCCGTGAGAATACGAACAAAGACGAAAACCCCAATCATCTTTGTGAGGTTTTATTCCTACAAGAAGTTGCAGGAAGAAGAAACTGTACAGAGTGTATCATGGTGACCACACTGCAGAGTAGCTCAAATGACATACAGAATGAAGTCTCCTTTTATACATGTCAAAGAGGAAACAACAACATTGACAAGCTCCTGTTGTAGGAGATAAGCAGTTTAACACAATCAACCTGAACAGAGGAATGTTTAGTCCATGTAGAGTCATCCTTGTAGAAATCAAAGGTTATCCAAACACATGATGCTTAATCTAAACCAGCATTTCATGAAATGTCACACAGTTCACATTAGAATTACTCTAACACATCTGCTAAATATATTTTTCCCCATTACACTACTCAGGGACTTTATACCTGGGAATCAAGAAAACTTTGACTTTCATCGCTTCCTGCAGTTTGCCAGAGTGTGTGAGGTTGATGGAAGGAAAACTATCTGCACCAGAGACATAGTATGACAACTTGAGCTTGTAAACAGATAATTGAAAGCAAACTGATAATGTTGTTATTTATGACTAAACTACAGTCCTAACCTCAACAGGAGGAGGACAATATGTACGACTTGTTCTACATAAGACACCGTCTCCACAAAAGAGCCTATCAGCACAGAGTAAACAAAGTCATTGAACATATGTAAGTGTCTACCTTCAGATCTTAGTACTCCAAATATAAGATTTCCATTATTTGATCTGCGTCATGATTCACTATCTCATCAGTAATAATATGTTTGATATGAACATACAGGATTGCAGAGGCTTTTTTGAAAGCAGACGGTCACATTGAGATTGAAGGATCAGGAGGGAGGATGTTCACTCTCTCTACAGCCAATGAGGACATGGAGGCCTACACAAAGCTCACAGGTGTGTAGATTTAAATGTGTGCTGTTAGCTCATGTTTAACATTGAAGCCAATTCAGACTTCAGATATCAAGACATTGTTTTAAATAATGCACTACACCCAACAATCTGAAAGGAAATTGTGTGTAGGCACTTGTCGGTTTTGATGTTTGGCCAAGGACAAGGTTATCTGGTAGTTTGAGGAGTTCACAAATCCAGTCTCAAACATCCTGAACAACTGGCTGTCCTGATCATTTGAACTTGTTTGATATTTAGGATGTTTATTTATGAAGTAACAGAAATATGACATATTTCAACACTTTTTGGAAACACTCTTTGTTAGATGCTGCTTTCTGTCAGATGGCTCTGTTGCTAGGTCATTTACAGTTATGCTACTTTATCCATTTTTTTTATCGTGCATTTGTTAAAGATAAATAAACCACATCTGTTAATTTACTTGTGATGACTTATAAATGAACATGCCATGTCTTACAATTTATTGAGTGTGTTTAAAATTAAATTCACTAATTTTTGTGTGTGTTATTATC